TCCTTTCGAATGCCTAGCACCGCACGTGATATGGACAACTTCAATGTAATCCTTCCCATTCACCATGCTCACCGTGTTGGACCAATCACAGTCGAAGGCTCCGTGCGGTTGGAACTTCGGCGTGCACCCACCGACCGGTTCAATCCACGTCAAAACTACCGCCGGATCATTTCGACCCCGCGACCTTCGGGAAATTGATTATCCATTCTGAAAAACGATTGCGGAAAAATCGATTTATTTCACTCACAATCAAAATATTAACCACTTAAAAATTGGTTCAAGCGAGCACGGGGAAGTGTTTATTTTCATCGGTTAGCCGGAGCCAGGGGTGGAAATTCCAGCTTTCTATGACAGGGGAGTCGCTCCAGAGGGAAAAATTGGTACTTATAGACCACGGACGGATATTTTTATTTTACCGGGTAAGGCCCACTGAGCTATACAGCTCTTTTTCAGAAGCAGCCTGGCCACAAAGGATAGGTCAACCACGTGGCTTATCACGTGGAAATTTTTAGCAGCCAAATAACTCTAAACGCGTGTCCATTACAAAATATGGGGGGGGGGAGGGGCAGAGAGATATGCAAACACCAAACACACAGCAAGTGTGAAAGGGTGGGAATCGAACCCACGACCTCCTGCATACCAGGCGAGAGAGTTAACATCTCCTAGCCACCGCAGATATAGCGGCTGAGCTCACCCACCCCCCTGCCGCCGACTCCAACATGGACTCGAACTCACAGCTTCGTTCTTCCCACATCACGAGGCGGAAAGAATATTCTGGATGAATTTATTTAATTAGAAGACGCAGATGGGGGGGAGAAGAGAGAGATTTATGGGTGTGACCAAAATAAGATTTATGGGTGCAACGATTAAATAAAAATTCAAAGAGCGACACACACCCGGGGGGGGGTGTTCTAAACGGGAACGTCTTCTCTCTCTCGATGTTTCGTTGAATTTTTCTGCCCGTCGCTTGACGTCAGCTCCCTTGACTCAAGGAGGAGGCTGCTCTGCATCCTCTTTGGAGAGAAACACCAAACCCCAACCCCCCCCGCCACCCCCCAACAGGTCCGTTTTGGGTTTTGCACAGAACCTCTCTAAAAGCCACGGGTTTAGCCAAGCAGGCGGCGGTTAAACACCTGCCAAGCGCAGCATTGTTTCTGTTCGATCACGGACAGAGCGCAAATATCGTGAAATGACAACAATAAATAAAATATGTGAACCTTTCAATTTAAAGCTTTCGTGACTGCAGGGATTCATCTTCTTGGTTCTTTCGGTAAAGTCACGTAGAATGGAAATAATAAATTAATAAAAAATACAAATAAAAACATAATAAAATAATTATCACGACGTTTCGGCCACAAAGCAAGCAGCCGTCCTCAGATGGCCGAAATGTCGTGAGAATTAATTTATCATGTTTTTATTTTTATTTATTATTATTTTATTTTTCCCATTCTACGTGACTTTACCGAAAGAACCAAGAAGAAGAGATATGTGAACCTGTTTCGAGAACAGCAAACACACACACATGTGCCGTCTCTGTTACCGGCAGGAAGCGCGTCGCTGGAGGAGTGGCCTCCGTATGGCTTGGTGGTCAGCGCACTCGGCCCACAAACCCAAAACCAAGAAATATTCACGTACCGATTCCACCTCCCCCGAGTTGCAATGTTCAGTTCTGCAAGCTGCAGAGGAACCGTCGCACGAGCGCCGCTAAGTGAACGTTCAAGACCCCAGTCATTAGGTGGTCGCGCTTGGCCTTAACACGAGCACGTGCTGCGTGCGGCGCACAACCACCGGACGTGTCCCGTCACTGCCATCGTAGGTGCCCGCTAACAGCACTTGCACCGACAGTATCTCAGGGTTCAAGTAGGGCTGGGTGATAACGTGTCTTAGTCGTGTGTGTATGTGCGCATGGGTGTATACAAGTGTGTAGGTCGTCTCAGCCTCAAATGTGTACCTGGTGCTGCGTGTAAACGTCGCCACTCAGGAGACAAAGGCGGCCGGGGGTGGTGCTGGCCACCCGCCCCCTCATGTGCCATGCCAGCTGCCATAGGTGCCCGCTAACAGTGCTTGAACCAACTGCCGAGGCTATATGGGGGATCTTTGCTTTTGTCTTGTATTTTGAGGGGTGGTAGCGTAGTGGTTTGTTAGTCTGCTGGCACTATGGAACAACCCGAGGTAAATTCTCAGCCACTTGTAACATCATTGGCGAGTGATATCAGAACCGGTCCTAGGCCTCCTCTAGGTACACTCGGCCTTAACTAATAACTGGTGCATGCCTCGCGCACACAAACAAACCCCTCGCCACCTCGCCTCCTCCTCAACTCTTCCCTACCTCTCTATGCTACCGGCTTGTCCAAATCACCTCGTCATTCGAGCACGTGGCTCAGAATGTGCTGCCCCCTTCCCACATTTTATGGATCGCGTGGAAAACCCTATTTTGATCTTGTCTGTGGACGTAATGAAGTGTCCCTGGCTTAGGAGAGTGGAATTGAACGGGTTGTTTTGACAGATCTGCTACTTTGCAATCCGTCCAAAAGGGAGGGAAAAAAATAAAGGTGTTAACACTATGGAGGAATTGAATTTCCTTTATCGTCTTCTAATAATAAAAATGAGTTAAGCCCTTGATAAATCCAGTAACGGATGACGGCCTACCTACACCATGCTGGTCAGCGTGTGTTGGTCAAGGTGAGCAAGACACAAGGCCAGTTCGGGCGTCGTTGGACAGCGTTGTTGGCGGTGGCCAGGAATCGGAACTCAGGGCACCGGGTTCACAGCGCAGCACCCTAACCACAGCGCCACCGTTCCCTCGATTGAACGCTCAGGAAGTTCTGGATGACACCGTCATCAGCGCTTAAATCACCAACAACGACCTCAAGAAAACCGCGAAATACAAAGGGTTCTGCGTTCAAGCATTGGGCCACGCGTTGGTTGGTACGCTTGTCCGACCTTTCAGTTCCTGCAGAAGCTCGCAGCAAAAACGTTCAGAGCGAAATTGAACACGTTCCGGTGGGACCCCAGGAAAACCCGATTTCTGGCGAGGGCACCTCGAAGCTGCGATTGTCAACGTAACAAACCAAGCGATCACAAGCGCAACGAACCCGTTTCGGTCACCACGAATATTGTTTGAGTCTGAAATAACACCGCGCCATCACCAAGCTTGGCAGACACTAAAATACACGGCACACTGGGCCCCCCAGGGCCCCCCCACCCTGGGCCCCCCCCAGGGCCCCCCCACCCTGGGCCCCCCCCAGGGCCCCCCCACCCTGGGCCCCCCCCAGGGCCCCCCCACCCTGGGCCCCCCCCAGGGCCCCCCCACCCTGGGCCCCCCCCCCCTGGGCCCCCCCCAGGGCCCCCCCACCCTGGGCCCTCCCCAGGGCCCCCCCACCCAGGGCCCCCCCCCGGGCCCCCCCCCCAGGGCCCCCCCCCCAGGGCCCCCCCACCCTGGCCCCCCCCTCCCCCCGCGCTCCCTGCCACCGGCGCGACCGCCGTCTTTTTCAGCATCGGTGCCGAGCGTCCAGCACTTAAGCAGGTGTGTGTCCCCGCTGCACGCAGCGCCACTTCGCCGCACTCTCTCCTACAGGCCCCGTGGCTGCCTGTCCACCTGCACACCCCCCCTCTCTCTCTTTCCCACCTCCATTCATCATCGTGTGGCAAATTGCGATTTATGTACCCCCCCCACCCACCCACCACCACCACCGGCCTAAGCTCAAATGATTTTGCATATTATCGCAGTTACCCGGGTGAAAATGTTTTTTTCCTCCCCCCTCAAGTAAAATAAAATAAAAACTCCCATGCACGCGTAATTTTCCCGCAAAACCGTTTTTCTTCAAACAATTATTCTCCCGAGTTGCTAGGCAATGGACTGCACACACACACATAGCATGAACGAAATACAAAACTACCCTTTGGACAGAGAAATGATGATGCTGCTCGTGAGCAATTATTCAAAAAGGCAGGACAGCACACGCACACACAAAGCAGGTGCTGCTGTCAGCACCACACACACACACACACCCGGCCGCCTTTGTCTCTCTCGTGGCACAATGCGCCATAAGCTCATTTTAGGCCGAGTCAAACTAGGGAGGTTCCAGGCGGCGTTTAGACAGTTTTGCCGATTGCCGTTAGGAATCGATCCACAGTTGCCGGGATCCGTAGCGCGGTGCACCAAGTGTTGTTTGCGAGCGCCTGTTAAAGACCGGCACGGCACACGAGGGGCGGGGTGTGGGTGTGCTCAGCACCATGGCTAGCCGCCTCCGTCTCCCCCTCCGCTGACCTACTACACGCCCACCACACCGGCTACTCAGAATTCAAGGAGGAATCGACCGAGGCGAGGCTCGGAACCAGTTCCGCAAGTATGACCCGGGTTGGGGGAGAGAGCTTCCCGGGTGTAAAGGGAGAGTGGGCGACATTGGCGCATGACATCCGCACAAGATCAACCACTCGCCACTGACGTGAGCCGTGGCCAGGAATCCAACTTGCTGCACTCCCCCCGCCCGCTCCTATTCAACGACCCGCGGAGGTGATTGCGCTGTTAGCGAGCGCCTATTGAGGGCGTGCGCGAGAGCTGGCCCCCAGCCTGCTTTGTCTCCTCTCCTCCCCGCAAAACTAAGATTTTATATATACACGCACACATACACACACGCGCGCGCGCACTCGGGAACAGAGGTGCAAAACTGTCGACTCATCATATCGGGTGGCTGCTGTAATTAAGCCCCACTGCGCGTGGCTTTGCCAAGTGCCCCTGGAAGCCCCTGACGGCACCATGCGCTCGCTCAACGACTCTCTCACTCCCCTCTGGGGGGGGAGGGAGGGCGGCAGTTAATGAGGGTGGAGCCACCTTGTACCTCTGCACCACCACGGACCGCCAGGTGTGTGCCCAACGCTCACCAAGGGACCGGGTTAGCCCGGTGTTTATTCGAGTGGTAATGCGTCCGTGAGTACGGTGTGCATGTACGTGTGCGGGTGCAGCGTCGGTGCAGCGGTTAGCACGCTGCGCTACGAACCTGGCCACCTGGGTTCGATTCCCTCTCACCACGGGGTCGAACCAGCGCCGGACCTTCCCCGAGGTCGACTCGGCCTTGAGAGAGTACCTGGGGGCGGTGCGCAAACATCGCCACTGTGGGGACAAAAAGGCGGTCCGTGGGGCGTTGCGCTGGCCACTCCACTCCCTCTCGCGTGCCGTTCCGAACAGCCTTCACGTGTGCTCGCCCAACAGCACTTGCCCCGACAGCCCTGTTAAAGGCTGGTACACGGGGGGGATCTTTGTCTCGTGTGCACGTACATGGGTGCATTGGTCACAGCAGCGGTTGGTGCGTCGCCGCGCGCTACGAACCCGGCGAACCGGACAGTTGGAATGCCGCTCGCGGTCAACTTCGCTGACGAATATCCGAACCAGCGATGCCGGGACGTTACCCCACCCCCCCCGCCGCTGCCCAGAGCTCAACTCAGCCTCAAGCAGAGGTCGCAAACGGGTACCCGTACCCGGCCGTACCCGTAGGTTACGAGTATCGGGTACCTGATTGCGACCTCTGGGATGAAGCCATGTTGCAGGCGTGGGTGGGTTGATTCTAGGAACTTGAATTGTGAGAAGAGACAAGACGTTGGGAAATGAGTGACAAACAGTTACTCACCAGTGACTCGCGGCCTACCCGTACCTGGCCGGGTACGGGTAGCCGGGTATCGGGTAGGGTACGTGTATCGGGTACCCGGTTGCGACCTCTGGCCTCAAGCTCTCTAAAAACGCGCAGCAGATGCAGCCTATTCTGGGTCAAATCGCGACGTCCGTTCATTTCCATCCCCGATTCCGTGTGGCAGGCGCCAGCCTCCTCCATGGGGCTCAAAGATTCCGCAACAACGAAATTGCGAGCGCAACGCCGGGGCACGTCGGACGCGCCGATGCCATGGTACTCTTTTGCTAAAATCGCCCCGGCTTTCCGCGTAACAATCTATAAGAGCCCCAAAATGACGACCGTGTCAGATACATGCTGCGATTATCAGTGTCATGTGTTCCGCGCTGTAATTCCATTCCCGAGGAAATGACCACGAGTGCGTGATAAATGACCAAAGTGCGATAGAAGATACAATTTCCAACGGCAGGCCATAATCGTCGCACGCTGACACGCAACCCAAATGCCAAATTTGTAAATTACACACAACAACAAAAAAATCGATAGACGTAACACGATGGTTCATCGGTCTGTCCATCCCTTCTCCCCGGTTGTGTTTTTTTCTTGTCAAGTGGCAGTAAACGAAGTTACGTGGTCTTGGTGGACATTTTGACCGCATCGCCAGAGACGGCGTCCTTTTTGTCATCGTCTCTCTTGAACGAGTTTTTTGAGATCGCCGATCCCGTGGCGGGACTGTGGTGATCCGCGGCAGAGAAGCCCGAGATCTGGGCGAGTTGGTTTAGTGGAGATGGTGGCGGGGGGGGGGGGTACGTCCAACCAAACCAATGGGCTGGGAAAACCCGAGCAGGAATCGCATCAGGCGGTGACATTTGACAAAGATGACAACATTTAGAGGATGCCGCCCTCCCCCTTTTGTCAAATCGTTGCCCAATGGGAAGCCCTAAACCACACAGCGCTCTTGTCTTTTACCTCTCACGCAGATTAATGTAGCGCCTTCATCCAAGGCGCTTTGCAACAATTATTAAATTGTACGTGGAGATTATGGCGATTCAAATAAAGAGCAGGGCTATTCAATGCGGTGATGTAGATTATTAATGGTAATGATTATGGAGGACTGGTGTTTAAAGGGAGGGGTTCAGCATCAGAATCTTTAATTATCCTGGAGACATCCAAGAGCGATGAAGAAGCTCTTTTTCACAGATGCCCAGTAGGGGTGGGTTTGGGTGGGGGGGGTTTGACCAAACTCCACCACCCTGGCCAGCGTGGGTCTGGTTTACAAGGAATCACGAACAATGTGGCAGTGGTAAAAACAATCAGGCTTGGGTTCAAGGGTTTCATAGCAGTGTGTTATAACCACTATGCTACCGCTCCCACCCTATGGTCTACATGCTTAGAAAAATACAGAGCTCTGTAATAGTTCATTTATTTTGTTGGACCAGACCAGAACTCAAGAGACCAGAAGAGGCATTTGTCAGAGTGACCCCCTCGGGGCGATGGTCTGCCAGGAGGGGACGATTAAATCGCCACGTATATTCCTGACTGGGTACATTTCGCCGTGTAATTTTTTAGATTTTGGCAAACTTGGGAGCCCGACGGCGGCCTGGCTCTTGGTGCCAACGACGATTGCAGCAATTGCGGCACCGCAGTAATGACCAGGGCGGCCGCTGGATTCGAACCGCAGACCTCGCAACAACGAGCGGCGAGGCGAGCGCGCTGGGATTGTTGTTGTTGAATTAGTCGTGCAATTCTGCGCCAACCGATGCGCCACCACTCGTAACCTGAAAAAGGCATTCGCTCCGCACCCACCTCCCACCCCACAAAAGACGAACATCCCCTCGTATAGCCTTAGCAGACTGTTGGGGCAAGTGCTGCTAACGAGTAGCACCTATGAAGGCCGGAACGGTGGCACACAAAGGGGTGGGTGGCCAGCACCACGCCCGGCCACCTTAGTCTCCCCAGTGGCGATGTTTAAACACACTGCACCAGTGGCGATGTTTAAACACACTGCACCAGTGGCGATGTTTAAACACACTGCACCAGTGGCGATGTTTAAACACACTGCACCAGTGGCGATGTTTAAACACACTGCACCAGTGGCGATGTTTAAACACACTGCACCAGTGGCGATGTTTAAACACACTGCACCAGTGGCGATGTTTAAACACACTGCACCAGTGGCGATGTTAAAACACACTGCACCAGTGGCGATGTTTAACACACTGCACCAACACACTGCACCAGTGGCGATGTTAAAACACACTGCACCAGTGGCAATGTTTAAACACACTGCACCAGTGGCGATGTTTAAACACACTGCACCAGTGGTGATGTTTAAAACATTCTGCACCAGTGGTGATGTTTAAAACATTCTGCACCAGTGGCGATGTTTAAACACACTGCACCAGGTACTCCGTTGCGGCCGAGTCAACGTTAGGGGGAAGCCCCTGGACCGGTGCAGATAACCACCACAGCTGTTGGCCATGCGCAAGAAAAATTAACTCTGGCTGCTGGGTTCATAGCGCGGCGCGCTAACCGTTACACCACCGCTCCCCCCTCCACCACACTGCGTCCGTTCCCACTCAGCCACTGCCTTCCCCCCCTCCACACCACCTCCCAACTCTATTAACTCCCCCGCACCTCGCCCGCTGTCCGCACTTGAACCCCCCTCAAGCGCACGCCGTTGTGGATTGGACAATCAATTCCGGGCAAGACAATAAGAGCGGCGCGGCGCACGTAATAGGCTCTCGCTAACAGCATTTGCGCTGGCAATCTAGGCTAGAGGATGGGGTGGGGTGGGGGGGGAATAAATAAATGCATCAACAGATTGATGGATACGAGACGCTGCGTGCACGCATCTTTCCCCGCCGCCGTGTTCTCGTCCTCAAAATCACGGTTTGCAGAGCACAGGGCCCCCCCCCTAAAAAAAGGCCCGAAACGCCAAACGGGCAGCAACAAGCAGCACACTTTGGATGTGTGATAGACAACGTAGCAGAGTTCAGAGGAGCACGTGTGTGTGTCGTGCAAGCGAACCCCACAGCCGGTTTAGCTCTGCACCGTATACACAAGATATAGACTCTCTCAAGACAGGCCGTGTCGGCGAGCACCTATTTAGGCCGGGACGGCACACGAGCCAGCGGGGACCCAAGCCCCACTGCCTTTGTCTCTCCCTCCTCCCCCCCCACTGGATTAGGTGGTAATTTCATGCCGAGTAGACCTAGGGGAGAATCAATCCCGATTTCAAACCATGTTGCAGCATGGCCATGCAGTACTAGAGTCGGTGTTCATAATCAGAATCAGGATATGTATTCATCATGCTGGAGGAATCTGACGAGCTATAAGGTTCTTTTTCACAGATGTCCAGTGTTAGCGGGAGCGTAGCGCGGCGCGCCAACCAATCCAACGCGCACGCACACAGCACGCGACAATGCCACTGCACACGTTTACAACGATACGGTGCGGTAAACAAGACCCATCGGTTGTACGGTACTGCGATTCTACGCTCCCCGAGTCTACGCCCCGATCGGCGTGGCCAAGCGATGGCCAAACGGCCCTCGTCATCCAGCAGTGGAGTCACGACGAGGCTGCAACCTGCAGCGACAGATTTGAAGCTTTCGTGACTGCAAGGATTCATATTCTAAGGTTTTTTCGGTAAAGTCACGTAGGTAAAAAATTAAAATTAATAAAAGTAAAATTAAATAAAATTAAAATCACGACGTTTCGGAAGCAACACAAGCCTCCGTCCTCAGGTGGAACAGTCACAGCACGATAGCTGTATCAAGTATCACTTGATACGTAGGTAAAAAATTAAAAGAACTTTTATTAATTAAAAAATTTTATCTACGTGACTTTACCAAAAAAACCTAAGAATATGCAGTGACAGAGCATGTCGTCTTTGACAGCACCTGCTGAGTTACGATCATGATTGCAACAAGAGCCCTCCTGGATAAGCAGAGTCGGTAAAGACACACACCCTGGGTTTCCCCACCCTCCCCCCCCCAATATCACTTAACATTACTACAGACATACATTTTGTACGAGCTGTCAAAAAAAAGGTCAAACTTTACCCACGGATAAACGATAGCTTGCCGGCGCACAAGGTCCACCGATGGTACACGCCCCTCCCCGCCCCAAAAAAGTCAGCATTGGAAATTCCACATTCCCACGACAGGGACCAGTTCGTCCCGACAACAACCCCCAGTTGACCTCTCCGCGCGCAGCGAGACGCAGCATCACCACACGGCGTTCATTGTACCAACCACCGAGACACGACGACGATGATGACGACGGCGGTAACAGGCCCACCCAGCGGCGAAGTCTATCGAGTGTGCAGGCGGTGCAATCGCAGCTGTGCCCACGAGCCGCAGGGGACCCAGGCGTCTGGCAACGAAGGGGAGAGATTGGATGGGTGGAGGGGGGGCCCCCCCCAACCCCAAACACCCGACCCTCCCGCCCCCCCATTTCACTCCTAGCACCACGGTCCACGCCAGCCACGTGAGGCCACAAAGTCCATCCTCGTTTGGATTCGAAACAATTGAAATTACATTTTATTATTATTTTACCAGCTAAGGCCCGCCGAGCCATATAGTTCTCTTTCAGAAGTGACATGGGCTTTCACAAATCATTGCTCAA